TTGAATGGATGTGGGGAAGATTTTTTTAGTTTGCCATATATCTTAGCATTATTTGTTTGTAAATCTTAAAAATAGCAAAAATTAGTAGTGTATGCGTTGTTTCATCGTAGGTTCCTAAGAATACTTTAAAAGTAAGGAGCAATGTAAAAATATTTATTTATTTATTTCTTTATTTATTTATTTTTTTTTTGAAAAATTGAAACATTAATATAGATCCTATATATAACAATATGTAATTAAAAATTGCTAAAAGAAAACAAATCGCTCTTGAACGGGGGATAGATATGTCTTGTGAAAATCGTTGAACTCAGGGACGCATGCCTGGCCTGAATGCCTCTTCGGCATTGAATCTATAGGACAAATTATACACCTACAACTTGAAATTTTATGATTTTTATAAAACAGGTCCTTTGGGATCCGATAAAATGACAACAAATCACTCTTTTTTAAGCAATTATCATAATAATAATATTTTCTTCTGGTTTTTCGTTTGGCTTGAAGTCAGAATTTAAAAATAAAAAAAAAAAACGGAGGAATTTTTTTTTATTTTCATATAAATAAACAAAATAAATAATAATAGTAATAATAAATATTAAATACAAATAATAATAATAATAATAATAATAATAATAATAATAATAATAATAATAATAATAATAATAATAATAATAATAATAATAATAATTATTATTATTATGATAATAATAATAATAATTATAATAATATTATTAATAAAAAAATAAAGATAATACTATTTGTAACAATAATAATAAATATTAAATGCAAATAACAACAAGGATAATGTTAACAATAATAATATCGTTAATTATAATAATAATAATAACAATAATAATAATAATAATAATAATAATAATAATAATAATAATAATAATAATAATAATAATAATAATAATAATAATAATAATAATAATAATAATAATAATAATAATAACAATAATAATAATAATAATAATAATAATAATAATAATAATAATAATAATAATAATAATAATAATAATAATAATAATAAGCACAATAATAATAATAATAATAATAACAATAATAACTATAATAATAATAATAAGCATAATATTACCAACAATAATATTGTTAATAAAAATAATAAGAATATTATTTATAATAATAATAACAATTATAATAATATAAATGACACTCATTAAAAATAATGGAATAATAATTAAAATAAAGTAAAAATAATGATAAAAAAACAATAATAATTATGGTAATAATAATAAGAAGAGGAAGAGTAAAAACAATATAGACAATTATAACAACAATTAAAACACATACTTCTATTATTCCCTAAGAAGGGCAGAAATCTTCCAATTTTTTTATCGCATGCGATTTTTTCATTTTTTTTAAGTATACAATTTGTAATATATTTTCATCTTACAACACAGGATGGGGGTTTTATATACAGATTGCAATTATCGTCCGATCCTCACGAAAATTTTCACAAGGGTAGGGTTAGTCTCAGAAGGGCTAGGCCTATTGTTTTCAAAGATGTCCGCAATATATTTAGGGATGGAAATGGACCAACAACTAAAAATATTCCTGATTTTCAGCCGTTACAAAGGTCACAAAAAGAAACCAAAAGACACGGAATTTCGCATGAAGTTAGAGTTAAGGACAGCGGGTTGAATGGGCCACTACTTTTGTGTGAAAAATATCAACATTTCCGAAATGCTGAAAATAACTTACAGGCGTTATCCAAAATATACAAAAATCATATAGATGAGTCTAATTTAGAGATACAGAAGCGCCTCTTGATCGAAAAATATTTAGGGGTTCAAATGAACCGAAAACAGAAAAAAATCCTGATCACACAATTGAAGCAAATCGACACTCCTGAAAAGAGAATTAAATACCGGGAAGAAATCTAGAATTTTGGATGATCATTGGATTATATTTAGTTGTAAAATGGACCACAACCACTAACAGCAGGACGGAGTGTGTAAATATTGGGCAAATGTCCCTGGTCAAAATGCTAAGGGTAATATCTGGGCAGTGTTCTATGACATAATTTCAAAAGCGAAATCTTCCAAAATGGATTTGAATATAAAGGGGCTTCTAACATATTGTAGTGTTGTAGGGTATCACATGGTCGGTCCCTCACGACTATTTTTAATTTTTTAAATAGAAACAAAACATAGCAACACAAATATATTCTTCCATACTATTTTATCAATGGATTTTTCTGAAAAATGTTCTTGTTATGATTTTTTTAGCACGAAAACCTGAAAATTATTTTGAAAATAGTTATTTGTTGTTGCAAAATGGTCAGGCTTATCGCTTTATTGTTGTTTTTATAAAAACAACGTTTGTTTATTAGTGGAGAACGATGTTAATGTTTACCAGGGGGTAAGGCATAGAATACCTAGGTTTCGGAAAGAGCCACCAATCCTCATCAGTTCCCTTGTTTTTTTTTGTCTGGGATATTCTCCCCAGAAGTTATTTTAAAAATAACTTCTATGACAAAAAACATTTTTTACCAAAATTTCATAAATTTTTTAAATTGAAGACAAACTTGCGAAAAGTAGATGGAAAAACAATGATTTTCGTAGCATCGAGTTAATAGTCTAATACGACATAAATTTGAATTCATTCAACAATTCAATGTATTACTCATTTAATTCTTTAAAAATTCGCTGTAATAACAATTTTAGACAACATTCGATTAAAAAAATATGTAAAATATGGTGAATAATGCTATTTTAATTTTAATTAATGCTATTTTCTCAAAAAGTCACATTTTTTTGCGGTTTTTGGGCTAGTGGAGGCATTTAACCGTGCGAATCGTAAAGTACCTGAGAATGGTGGGCGCTAACATGAGATAATATCCAACTTGTTTTGCCCAAAATGCAACAACTTGATTTGAATGTCATAAAACAGCACACATAACAATGGTGTTATTGGAAGGCAAGTTTCGTGAAATTTTAATTTCAGATCGGGAAGCGGTCAATTGGCCGCCAAAAAATTGCGATTTAACGTCTTTAAGCTCATGTCTATGCATACGAGCACTCTTCAGTTGACGCATCGAAAAACAACATTTCAAAATTTTTTTATGAGATGCCGGCAGAAGTGTTAGAAAGCATCAGCCCAAAGTTTGACTGGACGGATGGACATTTTGAGGCGCATTTACGGTTAACATTTAAATGAAATAATCTTCAGACAATAAATTATAAGGACCACAATTTAAAAGTCACCCTTTATAAGTTCACACGGTAAGGTCGGTTGTTGTGTGCTTTAAATGTCAAATTACAATGTTTAAAACAAAATTATACAATAAAAATTCTCAAGGTACAATTATTTCAAACCAGGATATGCAGCTCTGAATTGTAACTTGAACTTACCCTGTCAAATTTAACAGCATAGAAGACAAGTTCCCATCCCAACTTTGAAAAAAAAAATTAATATATGATTGCACAGGATTACCTTGGACATTCTACTACGAATTTTCCTTTTTTGACCAAAATGGAAGTTTACAAACTTGAAGTGTAAAATGTGTGAACTAAATAATTTTTTAAGAGATACACTCGGAAAGGCTGTTAGTGGGCAGAAAAGACTAAGATCTGAATTCGCTTTCTTTTTGACCCTATCTAATTGTCCTTGCCCAAAACTTTATTTCACACTGACGCTGTAATCAGCTTCCTTATTTTGGACCATACAAGTATTCATATTTCATTTTTCATTCCAAAAATCGTTTCATCTTTTCGCAAAAAAGTATTTAGAAGTAAAAATAGTTTTAAAAATACTAAAATCGCTTTATTTTTAAATTATTTTATTTTTTAAATATGTTATCCAATACATAGATTCAAAGCTGAAATATTGTAAGCATTTAAAAACAAAATACTGTTAAAATATGATATAGGGTGGGTGTTCCAGTACATACCATAAAAATGATATTTTTAAATTATTTTATTTTAAACAAAATGTACATAATTGTCTAAGCTGAATACTTACGACATCTATTATGATACATTTTATTCGAATACCTAATTCACCAAGAATCTAAAATATAGGTGCAATGTGTTATAGTTCAAACACAGTATTAAAACACAATTACAAACAAATGACTTCATAAGGAAATCATTTAACCAAATGAATATCAATAAATACCTCTACAAATGGATTTTCTCATGTGCATTTCCGTAGCATTTCATTACCTGCTGAAAATGAAAACCTATCACTTTAACAGTGACTAATTAATATAATATCCGCTTGGTTACTAATGTTATTTTATCTGCCATCAAGACACGCCCCCATTTGCTATGGCTTTAATGCAGCAGCAAGACATTAGCCTCAAAACTATCATGAAATGATAGACACGATCGAAATCTCACAATTGATCGCAAGAAAAATAAAATAAAAAAAAAAACAATAATAAAAAATAGAGCTACATTTGATTATCAAGCAGTTATTATTAGTTTGTGTTCTCTTTAAATAAATTACTCTTCTCTTTTGTCAGGTGTTTGTCGAAGAGAAAATTCCATGGCCGATGTTGTGTTTCACATTCCACAATGTAACGCGCAATGGAATTGGGAACAAAAACGGGAAACAGGAACCAAACAAAAACATTCACTTGTTCAATTCAAACAACAACGATGAAATTCTTGCACCCTCCCCCATGATGATGATGAGGCTGATGGTGACGACGATGATGAAAGAAAATATTAAACAAAACAAAGTCTGTGTGAAAAAAACCATTCTCATCATCAGCCTCTCCTGCTGCATTCTCGTTGTGTGAAGAAAACTAACAACAACAATATTGTTGGTGCATATCACGTTTGCCAACCCATACATCAAAAGAAATGTGTTATGTTATGATTTTCTCCGGCCGTACGTGAGTGGCCGTGAGAGAGAGTGGTGTGCCTCCGCACTGAGGGAGAGCGAGAGTCCACCTTACGTTTGCAGAGTCGTTAATGTGTACATCGACGTCGCTGCTTAGCAGCACAGCAAGAACACACGGTGTTGTGTTGACCACAATCGAGTTTCATTCATGGCACACAACGTCAGTTCACATTCAACCGTCGTCTCCGTCGTGTGTAACAACAGTTTTGTTTTGTAAGACTGTGTTGTGTGTCAAATCAAATGGCTGGGTACTGTGTGTAAATTAAGCCGCCTGCCACACACAGAGCTCTCGTTGTAGCGCAACCAACCAAGAAAGCAAAGAAAAAATAAAAACAACAAAGTAACGCGAGTGCAAGTGCAGTTAATGTTGAGTTCTTTTTTTTTGTATTTAATTAATAACTAAATTAAATGAATTAAAAATAAATAAACAACAAGAGGAAGAAAGAAAAAAAAAAAAACAAACAAAAACTGAAAACAAACAATTTGTGAAGAAAATTAAATTTCAAAAGAAAATTGTGAAAAAGAAAAATTCGTGTTTGTGGAGAAAGAAATATAAAGAAGAAAAACAAAACGGATTGTTATGAAAAAAATAATAATTTTTTGAAAAAGAAAAACTGGGTGATTTTTTGGAAAAATTTGTGTTTAAAAAAAAACTGAAAAAGTCAAAACAATTGAAAATAAAAAAAAAATAAAACATTTACGCAGTGGAAAATCATAAACAAAAGAGTGAGTGTTGAAAAATTAATTATTTAAATATATTTTAATAAAAAAAAAAACAAATTATGAAATTATTGAAATTCAAAGCAAAACATTTGATTTTAAGTGCCAAAATTGCATTAATTTTTAATATTAATTTAAAAATTTTCATAATTTGAAATGTGAGGCCCTCGAATAGGATTAAATATAAATTAAATATATAAATAAATAAAAAATTACAAAAATTCGTATAATGACATATATGATATACGTTGCCTCATGTGACAAAGCAGCAGGCGCCAAATATTGTTGTTTGGCTCCCAGGGAACCCCAGACATCCATACCAAACTGTTCTGATTTGTAAATGTTCAATTGGAAATTTCATAGTTTTTGTTGTGGAACCCCTATATAATTTTCGATATTAAATGTGAAAAATGTTTTCACCTGTGGCGCCCAACGAAAATAAATTCAATATTTTTTTTTGAATTATTTTAAAATTTCATATTCATTTTTAAAACCTCAAGTTTCCATTAAAATTGTAATAATCTGTCATATGTCATTTTCAATATTTAATATGAAAATATTTTTTTTAGCTGTGGTGTCAAATTTTAATTATTTTGAAATATTTTCAAACTAATACAGTTATATCAAGTAGCTCCAGTTTTGTCCCACAGGACCCTAGTTTATATTCAAACACAAATTTCCGCATTAGCCCTGTGAACCTCCTAAAAATATTCCAATATTCAAGAAAACAAGTGATATTTTGACCTGTGGCGCCCAATGTAAATATTTTCTATACCAGAGTTTATTTATTTAAATTGGTTTAAATTAAAATATTCATCTATAAGGCCCTGTTTTCGAAGAATGGGTAGCCTCAAATGTCTTTGCTTGGTCCCAGAAGACCCCAAACACCACACAAAAGTGACATGATCTCAAATATTCAAATGAAAAGGTGATAATATGCCCTATAGAACCCATCAAAAGTTCCAACATATACTTTGAAAAACTATATTTTGTTCAGTGGCGCCCAAGTGGGTGGCCTCAAATGTGTTTGCTAAGGTCCAGAACACCCCCGACTCCAAACAAAACTATCACAATCTCGAATATTCAATTAAAGTATTGATAATTTGCCATATCGAAACCCTTGAAAAGTTTAAATTAATGTACGAAAAAATCATTTTGATATGTGGCGCCCAACAAAAATTATTTCAAAATGAAATTTATAAAACTATAAAAAAATATTTTTTATTAAAAAATAAATGAAATTCAAATGTATTTTGACATGTGGCGCCCAATAAACATTATTTCAAAACAAAACTTTTTATTATCAAAATTATATAGTTCCAATTGTCTCTTATTAAAAACTTGGGTACTCCAATAATCCTCGGTCATCCCAGTAGAATTTCAGGTTTCTGAGAATTTTGTCTGAAAATGTAATATTCGAATCAAAATTTTATACTCGACATTTTCGATTCGTCTGTGGCGCCCAACAAAATTATTTCCATGTCAAATTTGGGGTGCCAAATGCATTCACAAAATAAAAATAAATAATAATAATAAAATGATATTGACTTTTGACGCCCAGCAAAATTGTTTATAAAATATATTTTTGTGGCGCCCAACAAAATTGTTTATAAAAACTATTTTTCACCTGTGATCGGCCGCCAAAATTATTATTTAAATTAAAAATTTCAATTATTTAAATTAAAAATTTTTAAAAGTAAAATTCAAATGCCCAATGTTCCTAGGGTACACTAGCCATCAAAAATTATTATTTCGAAATTAAAATTAAATATTTAATTTTAAGAGATATGTTCGGAAGTCCCTCTATGTTGTTTCATAGTCCCAAGGGTCCCCTGACTTCTTTATATATATAAATATTTTTTTAGTTTGACCTTTAGTCTTTATTATTTCGAATACAGTATTGACTTTTGTATAAGTTGCGCCCAACATGAATAATTATTATTTTTTTTTTTAAGTTTTTAAGTTTTTTCTTGAATATTGTGTAAGTTTTAACTTATGCAAAGCTGGCTTAATAATGAAAATCAATAAAAACAAACAAAACAAAAAATAATAATAAAATTGTCATTATTATCAAAAAAATAAAATAATAATAGCAAGTGGCGCCCAATAGAACAATTTCATGTTTTCCATTTTTTTACAAAATTTCTTTCTAAAAAACTAAATTTCGTTTTACATACAGCGCAGCTATTATTACGATTTTCTGTTCTTAATCAAGTCGTGCTGATTGAAGAAGTGGCGCCCAATATGTTTTTTGTTGAAGTATTAAATTATATTATGATGACTTGTGGCGGCCAAAGGGAATAATTTGGAATTTTCCAATTTTATTCGGTAAATTAATTGTTTTACAAAAATGTCTAAATTTTACAAACAAATCAGTTATTTATAACAAATTAAAAATATGTACACAATTTTTTATATTAATTTTAAATATATATTAAATTATGCTATTTTTATTTTTTTAAGAATCAAAGCTGTCGTAATTAATAGAAATTAAATTTTCATGGGAAATTATAAAAATGTTTTTTGGCGCCCCATCGAGTTTTTAATTTTTTTATGAAATTCTCGTTCTTATAAAACAAAAATTATTCAATTTTTAATTTAAAAAATTATTTAATTACCAGTGTGTGTCGCTAAAATCATGAAAATACCGAATATCGGGAGGTACAGTTATATGGGGGCTATACGAAAACGTGGACCGCCATACCCCATTTACGAACTTAACCTGCCTCTCATTCTTAACCTGTTCTCATTTATGCTCCTACTAATTTTTAAATATGGAAAACAAATTAATTTCGATTTGGAAATAATTCCAGCAGAAAACTATACCGACGTTTCATATATTTTTTTAACATTAAAATTTCATAATTTTTTTGAAATATTTTGTCAATTTTTTTTTTGATTTTTTCCCGATTTTTATTTAATTTCCATTTTTTTCTAAAAATTCCCTTTAAGAAATAATTAAAAAAAAAATTAAAAAATATTTTGCTTCCTTTTCACCGTATTATTAATTAATAATGAAACAGTGGTTTTAAATGTGTCTGTGTGTATGAAAGTAGTAAAATTTCATAATTTTTATTTATTTTTTTAACTTTATTTTTTTTGGATTTTTTGAAATATTTTGTAAATTTTTTTCCAATATTTTTTTTTTGATTTTTTCCATTTTTTTCCTAAAAATTCCCTTTAAGAAAATGTTTCTTGGCGTTACTCTAATAATTAAAATATATTTTGCTTCCTTTTCACCGTGTATTAATGAATAATGAAACTGTATTAATGAATAATGAAAATGTGTCTGTGTGTATGAAAGTAGTAAAATTTCATAATATTTATTTCTTTTTTAATTTAATTTTTTTTTGAATTTCTTGAAATTTTTTTCTTCAAGTTTTTTTTTTTGAATTTTTTCCCTATATTTTCAATTTCTATTTTTTTCAAAAAATTCCCTTTAAGAAAATGTTCCTTAGTCTTTTTCTAATAATTAAAAAATATTTTGCTTCCTTTTTAGGTTTTTTAATTTTTTTATTTTTTGGATTTCTTGAAATATTTTGTCATTTCTTTGAATTTTTTCTTTAATTTTTCCCGATTTTTTTTTTCAATTTCCATTTCTTCTAAAAATTCCCTTTAAGAAAATGTTCCTTGGTCTTTCTCTAATAATTAAAAAATATTTTGCTTTCATAATTTTTATTTCTTTTTTAATTTTATTTTTATACCCTACAACACTATGTGTTGGGGGTATTATAAGTTTGATTGGGCCAAAAATTATGTAACACCACGAAATATTGATTTCCCACATAGGAAAGTATATATGGATCTTCCTATCTCGCCGAGCTGAGTCGATCTAGCTATGTATGTCCGTCCGTCCGTCTGTCCGTCTGTCCGTCTGTCCGTCTGTCCATGTTAATTTGTAATCACTCTACAGGTCGCAATTATGGCCCGATCCTCACGAAATTTAAAATGTAGGTGGGGTTAATGTCAGAATAGAACCCTATTTCTTTTGAGGATGATCGCATAATATTTAGGGGTTGAAATGGACCAAAAACTGGAAAATTTTCTGATTTTGTTGTTGCTCTACAGGTCACAATTATAGACCAATCGAAGCGAAAGTTAGCATAGGGCTAGAGCTTTTTGCTGGGCATAAGCCTTCCAATTTTGATGGTCATCGGGTAACATTTAGTGGTTGAAATAGACCAAAGCATTTGTGATAAATAAAAGTCAAATTTTCCATTAAACCGCGAATATTTTTAATCCCGGCGAAATCACAAATAGACGAACAGGTCAATTCTGACCGTTACGTAGATGCCGATAGTAAAAATATTGGATATATATAGCGAAATATATACAATGTATATATACCAAGGAAGGGGATGTTAGCTAGAATGCTTATATCTCCAGAATGGCTGGAACGATTTTGACAAATGTTGTCTATTCAGAATGCCTTATTGGCATAAAAGTATAAAATCTAAAAAAATCGCATAAAAAGATACCAATAATGATGTTAATATAGATTTTGTAGTATTTTGTGACATTTTTTTCTTTTTTTCATATTTTTTATCGCATGCGATTTTTTCAATTTGACTTATAATATTCAAGTTTAAATTTTGTAATATTTTTTCACCTTACAACACAGGTTGGGGTTATTATATACAGATTGCAATTATTGTCCGATCCTCACGAAAATTGTCATAAGGGTAGTTTTAGGCTCAGAATTGCTAGGCCTGTTGTTTTCAAAGATGCCCGCAATATATTTAGGGTTTTAATGGACCAGCAACAATTAAAAATTTTCCTTATCGCACAATTGAAACCAATCGACACGAAATTTTGCATGAGAAGAGAGTAAAGGACAGGGAAGAAGTGTAGCATTTTGGATGACCATCGGATTATATTTAACTGTTACTAACAGGACGACGGTTTGCGTAAGTATTGGGCATATGTCCCTAGTCAAAAAGGTCTATGACACAATTTCAAAAGCGAAATCTTCCATAATGGATTTGGACATAAGGGGACTTCTACCA